CCCTCTCCCTCCGCTGTCTGCAGAGGATTAGCCATGTTGAGAACGTTTCAGCCGTGTGGAAAGGAAATCAGCTTTGGATACAAGCAGTGGTGGTAGTGCAGTGATGTGAGAAAACTGCCAGCAGCAATAGAAAGGATTCGGTCAAAGTTGGGTGGATGTCAGTTAAGCTGCTCAGGCTGAGCCTTTCGGGGAGTTTGGGAACCTCAGAGTTCAGTTTAGGTGTCCTGGGAATGTATGTGTCAAACTTGAACTCATTGAGAGCAAGCATGTGCCTTTTTCTGATCGAGAACAGAAGCTGGGAGAAACTTGCATTTGCATTGATGCTATGGTTAGTATTTTTATGAGCTGTTCTTAAAGCTTGAAGTCCTTGGTAAAAATTGAGTTGTTTCTACATTAATAAAAGTGAGCCCTGAATTATCTGTGAATTAGAATCACCCGAAAAGAAGAATCTTTTAAAAGAAGTGGTTTCTCTAAAGTAATGCTATCACAAACTTACTGGTTAATTTTCAGTTTTTAAAATGTAACCTTGATGTATGTTTCTCGTTATCGATTGAAAATAATCCATTCTGCCTTGACTGCAGCGTTGCCTGCCCAGCTGAAGTCTTTGCTGCGGCTCTGCAGCCGCTCCGCAGTGGTGACTGTCAGGACAGGAAGAATGTAGGGAGCACGCGGAGGTCTGATCGCCTGGGAGCGCCGCGGTGAGGATTAGACAGCCCCCATTTCTGCAAGAACTAGTTTGCCAGCAGCCGAGGGGACCCATGTCCGCGTAATGATTATACAGTGTCTTAGGGATGGAAAGTTTTAATGAAGTGGCACGAGAGGAGGGGAGAAGCTGCTGCTCCTCTCCTGTTATATCAAGGTGCTGGTAGAGGAAAGGCTTTTGTAAAACGTGTGCTGCACAGGGGGAGCTGCCTGTGTCCTTAGAGGCTAATGTAGCCTTAAAGCTGCTAAGAAGGTGCGTTTTCAGAGAAGCTAACGGAGAAGCTTTTCAAACGTGCTGTGTTTTGTCCAGTTTTGCAGTACCGGCGAGTTGTCCAGCTAGGGGCTCTGGAGTGAATGGTGGCTCTGAACTGGGTTCCCTCTCTGACCTCGGGGCAGTGATTCTGCCCCAAGTTTCTTACCCCACCTAGCAGTTGTACACAGTGATTCACATTGCCTTACGAGAGCCAGCCTTTAGGTGTTCCGAGGACGAATCATGTTGTGGAAGTGCTGAATTCCTACTGCAGACCCCAGCACCTTCTTGCAAATTTGCATCCTCGCGTACCAGTTTGTACAGTTGACCATGGTCCATCTCTGACCATGTTCTCTGCATACAAAGAACAGAGCTGGGGCTGTTGGGGCTGGTCCTGCAACGTTTACTTTCTTTTAAGATAATCCTTTGTTTCCTTTGTTGAGGAACAGACTGTCAGAGGGCAACGTTTATTTAAATGGAAATTGCAAAAACCTTCATCACTGAGGATTGAGTTGGTCCTTCAGAGACGTTTTGGCAGTTGGAAATTTAACACATCCTGTAATATTATCTAGCAACACAGAACAATTATGACTGTGTATGGAATTTAGAGTTTTGCTAGCCTATAAATCATAGATCCGCAAGCTAATTTAAACACAGATGTGTAAAAGTTAGCTGTTAAAATATTACTCACTAATAAACTTTCATTATGCTTAACACTTGCAAGTCTCTTAAATCCATTCAAATTCAGTTGCTTCGATATAAGATCCATGCCTTGTGAGTTAGTGTTCACTCAGACACATTAGCAAAGCAGCACCCGTTGGAGCAGTGCTGGGTCTAAAGAACCTTGCTGAAGCTTTTAAAGCTGCTGGTGTGTCAGCAGAGCAGAAACCTGAGCAGCACTTCCTGACTGGGGAGAAAAAAGTGAATGTTGGGAAAAAAATAAAAATAAGCAGTAAGTGTGAGGAAGACCGCTAGAAATCAGAAGATTTATTTTCTGACTTTATTTTCTGAAAAAACTGAAGGCTGTTCTGTTTTGAGCATCGCTTTTCTTTCTGTGGCTATAGTTTTTACATTTCTTCAAGCTTGATTTATATTCCCCAGCAGAATGTTCCCCTTTCTGCAGTAAAGCTTCACAACATCGAATCTAGCCTTGAGACAACTCGATGTCGTTTTCCTGTAGAAAAATCCTGTTCGGAGAAAGTTGCTTTTTTTTTTTTTTTTTTTTTTCCTTGCAGAAGACGGCATTTCTGAAAAGCTAGCTTCAGTACAGCACCCGAGTGGGCAGGATGGATTTTTAATGCATGATGCTGCTCTAGCAGCCCATGCTGCCGTGGCCATCGCGGCTCATTTGTCTCACAGGTCAGTGACGAACCTTGAGCTCACAGGGTGCAGATTTTGTCCCTTATATTCTTGTTTCTTCCCTTGGCGTACGCAATTGATCATCCCCAGGTAGCCTATGGACGGAAAAACAGCATTTCTGCTTATTTTGGGGGAAAGAGCTCAGCTCTGCAAGCGGCCTGGAGGTGTTTGATGGGAGATGAGTCTACAACATTGTCTCTCAACAGGTATTACTTCAAGCTTTAGCTTTCACTGTAATGGGTAGCATTCAGTTACGAGCCAGTGTGGGTATTAAAGCATCTTCAGCGGAAGGCGGCCCAGGTGGCATAGTGTGTGCCATAAGCATTGCTAGTCATCAATATATATTTGTTTAGGAGACTGCTGGAAGCAATGTTGTGCATATAGATTTTGCATATTTAATACCATATGTTTAAATAAAATAATAATTGTACTGTTCGGGATTCCTTTTCGGAATAAAATTTTAATAAAGCAGTCAAGAGGACTGAGATTCCCTTCTGTGTGTACGTTTTGCCCTTGCTCTTTCTCATATGCTGGTAACTGCTCCCTTTTTGTTTTGGCATTGCCATTGCTTAAGGAGGATGTGAATTGTGTTCCAACCATGAAGATAACTGGGGAGGGGTTCAAAGGAAGAGGAAATTGTTTCAAGAATAAAGCAGAGCTATGGCTTGAGATGTTGCACAAATAGATTGTAGACAGATGGCAAACAAACTGGTAAAAGCCTTTATTTTTACTTAACCATCTCTGACCATGTGTGCCTATTTGTATTGCGGATGTGGGCTGCAGCCTTGCAGGATGTGAGGGGAAATCACGTGTATCAGTGTGTTTTAAGATGTCATTGCTTAGCAGAAGCAGGGTCCTCTGCCCATTCTCCCTTTCCAGAGGAATTGTTCTTGCCAAAATTTTCTACCTGTTGCAGCAGTTGCTTTCTTTGCAGCACAGTAAAATGTCAACTTCTCCCACTGTCCCTTCCCTCTGGCAGTCATCTCTAATCTCTGTGCAACGGTGTATAGTGCACACAGCAGTCGTCAGATAGCTGCTGGCTTTAGACACCACCAAGTTGGGTATACTGTAAACCAACCGTATTATTTGAAAAATAAATTTTGTTTTGAATGCCTATGTGATATTTTAATCTCTTTATATTTGCATTGTTTGGTTTCTTTTCTTTCCGAAGCGAAGCCTGCAAGAATGGATGGAGACCAAAGTGCTGATGTTAATCGGTAATAGGAATTGGGATAATATCTTGATGGAAACACCAAACATGACTGCCAAACTATGGTCAGAAAATGTGATTTTTACTTTCCAGCTTTTCTGTTTGGTTAGTATTAATGCCATTTAATTAAAAATAAAGGAGCGGGGATTTAAAGTGCTCCGATTGGCAGTTTTGAGGACTAAGAAATGTGGGGTGTGATGGTAATTAGGTGTTAGCATTGCATTCGCCCCCATTGAACACCCAGATCTGTCTGCACTGTCAGCAAGACGAATGCAGATGAATTAAGGAGTTAAGTGGATTTTGGAGCTCTAAAATGCTTCTATGCAGAATATTGGCAGTCAGTGTGGTGTGCTGGGTTAAATCCTCGGCTCCCAAATCCTCCCCAAAAACCACGTTGTCCGCGGCGGAGGTTAGAAGTTCCTAAGGAGAGCTGCAGAAGTTCCTATTTTGGTTTAGCACTCTTATTCCCAGTACTGACGTGGTGAAATCCGTCGTGGACCTCTCTGAGCCAAAAACTGTCACCAAAGCTTTCTGTGGCAGCCTCCGCTCCTGTCCTTACGCTGTTCTCTGTACTGGAAGGACTCGTCCTTCGGTTTTACCTTTTTTTAAAAAAGAAAAAAAAAAGGTTTTAGTGTTGCTTTGCTTCAGTTTGGAGTGCAACTTTCACTAATAACTGCAATAAAAAAAAACAGAAGAAAGCTTTGCTCCGAACCTGCCCCTTGTGTTAACTTGCTCTATTTGTGATATATTAGAAAATAAATATATAATATATAAAATATTTATGAAAGTAGAGATTGGTTTTTAGATGGCCACTGCGTGGCACGTCAGAGGAAACGAGGTGGCGGGGAGGGTTCGTGCGTCGGCTTCTTTTTAGGGGGAAATAATCCAAATAAGATGGTCTCGTTGCCGCACTCGGGCAGCCCTGAGCGCCCCTAGCGGCCGTGACGTCAGCGGAGCCGCTTAACGACGGCATGGCAACGGGCGCGCGTGCCTGGCAACCTGCCTGGCAACCTGCCTAGCAACCGGCCTGGCGCCGCGCGGCGGGAGCGCGGGCGCCGCGCGGGAGCGCCCTGAGGCAGCGGTGAGAGAGCGGGGCCCCGGGGCGCCAAGCGCGGCCTCAGGCCTGCCCGGCCCTCGCTGCCCCGCTCTCCCCGCGATGAATGTTGGCCCCTAGCCTCGCGAGTGCAGCCGACCACCTTGCCACCCTCCATGAGTACCGTGGAGGTGATGGTGCTGGGGCAGCTCTGTGTCCCTGGGCAGAGCCTGCTGCTGGAAGAGTCTCTCTACCTTCCCAGGGGAGGAAGCAGTTCGGATTCACCTTCCCGGGGCGCTTAGTGGGGCTTGCACCGAGGCTTAGGCCCCTGGAGCCCCGCACAGGCCCTGCTGCTTTTGTGCCCATGCAACTCTTCCTTTGCTGCAAGGCTACAGCTAAACAGGAACAATCTTCTCCCTTTCAGTGCCCTGAGCGGCGATACAGCCATGGCCACGCTGAGCGTGAAGCCGGGACGGAGGTTCTCCCTGCCCGACTGGCACAGCAACGCCGAGCTCCTCTCGGCGAACGCCGAGCGCCGCCGCTCCGCTTCCCACCGCGTCCGCCAGGAAGCCCGCGTGCTCCGCAACGAAACCAGCAACCAGGTGGGCCCGCGGTCGCCCTGGCCCTTCCCGGGGCTGTGGCAACGCGGGAAGAGCATCTCGAAACTGGCGTGTGTGCCCTGGCGGGTAGGAGGGGGTTTTACCTCTGGAGAACTCCCTAAATCGGTTGCAGGAACTGAACATGTATATGTGAAATGACCTGTGAAGCCTTTGCAACCGATGTGCTTTTGTGTACCCTCCACTTGTGTAAATAACTATTGCACCAGGTGGCAACTTATTGACTCCCTGTAAAACATCGATCAATCCCCAAAGCAAGGAAAGGCTTCAGAAAGAAGTCACGGTGTGTCTTTTCTAATTCCAGACAAAATGGGATGAGCAGGACAACAAAACCCGCCTGACTGAACGTATCAGCAGTGTGAACAGATGGAAAGAGACCCTGGACAAGTGTCTCGCAGACATTGATGCGGAAATTGAGACCTTAGCCAAAGTACGTTAGGAAGACAAGTGGAAATCAACCTACACTCTCAATGTGTGACACTAAACAATTGAGGCTTGCTTTGTTTTCTTTGTTTAATGTTCTGAACCCACAGACTGCACCTTCCGTGGTCCTTAGTCCCCAGCAAGGTGCAATCCCCAGGGTGAATGGCAGGTGTAGAGGGCTGATGTGTTTGGCTCCCACAGTCCCCATTCCAGACTTGCTCAGGAGGTATCAGAACAGCAGAGATGGGCAGTGCAAGGCCGCTGTAATGAGGGCACCCATGGGTTCCCTTCCTTTCTCTTTGCTCCAGTCCCTGAAGGAGACTCTCCACCCACTCAGCTGGCTTCTTTCTGCAGGTGAAGGAAGCAGCTGAACATGCCCTCCAGGCGAAGAACTTGCCTTTGGACGTTGCCATTGAGTGCCTGACGCTGCGTGAGAGCCGCCGCGCCATCGATGTGGTGAGGGACCCCGTGGAGGAGGAGCTGCACAAGGAGGTGGAGGTGATAGAAAAGGCCAAGAGAGACCTGCAGCAGAGAGTGAGCGAAGCCTTCGAACAGCTCTGGTGAGGCAAAGAGCAGAGCTGCCTTGCAGCGAGCAGCTCCAAGCCCTGGGTGATGCTGGGGCAGTGCAGGAGAGCCAGCCAGCCTTGCAAAGCAAGTGTGCTGGAGGGCCGCGCTGGACTCGGGTCCCTGCTGTGACACAGAGACCTCTAATTCGTTTTAAAGAAATGCTTGAGGTTGTGATGAACGCTTTGGAAACATGAGTGAGCTGCCATTTCCCTCCGCGCGCTCCCGACTGACTCCAGCCCTGCTTTCCGCAGCCTCCTCCAGGAAGCCCGCCAGCAGCTAAGCCTGGATCACCGAGGCAAGATGGAAGCGCTGGAAATAGACCGTGTGTGCCTATCCCTCAACGTGAACTCTCCCAACATCTCCTTCAAGGTCAACCCAACACGGGTCCCAGATGGGTAAGGGAAGAGCCAGCCCTTTTCTGGCCAACCCCGTGCTGGTGCTTGAAAAAGCCTCGGGGTTCTGTTTCCTTCCATGCTATAGGTTGGCTGTATGGAACCAGTTACTAATAGGAACTGGCTGCTGGGTTTTTTTGAGGCTCTTGAACTGTGTGTTCACAAACTTCTGGGAGACGAGACCTTTCTTGATCCATGTTTATAGGGGACTGATTGCTAGTGAGGTGTACTGGTGCTCTCTTAAACCTCGCAGGGACTTAGAGCATTCAGTAGATACCTCTTACCTTACAGGAACATCAGGGTCGAGTAAACAGGGTGTCTTTTCTACTGGGGAAAACGGGAGGACAGTGAATGAGTTATCTAAATCACCACAAATCAGTGGCAAAACCAGTGAACCTAGCTGCCCTATTTCACTACTGTTTGGCTATAGGCAGTACACAGTTAGCAGTGTGCTATTAGCTTTTGGCAGAGCTGCAGATTTTTCAGTTGTTTGACGTTTCATAGCACCCCTCGCATGCGTCCCTGCTCTGAGCAGATGTTTGGCTCGGTGCAGGAGCTGTAGGAGAGCAACTTCCATCTGCTGCACGGAGGACATCGGACAGGGTGTGATCTCTGCAATTTCTGGCTCGTTTTCTATTGCAGAAAGCCTTCTTGGCCTGCAGCAGGTGTTTGCTTTCGAACTGCCTTGCAGACACTCCGTTTATTTTTATAACTGCTGAATTGTTCACAGATCAACCTCGCTTCAGGAGTGGGACGATTACAGTCAGCGCAACAAGGACCGTGCTGAGGCAGAAATGAAAGCCTCAAATGAGCTCCGGGAAGCAATAGCACTTACCATTGCTCAGGTAAGTTAGTCACTTGTCTGTGATTTGGTGGTGCAGACGTTCCCAGCCTCGCAGGAGATTCTCTCTCATGCAGTGGCCGTATTGACAATATCTGGGAGAGACACCCCTTCTAAAGGTGTGTGACTGCAGCCTGTTCTCTTTGCAGACAAACAACGAGCTAGAGGCTCAGCGGGTAGTTACAGAATTTGCCCTGCGCAAGAGGATTCGAGACTTGGAAAAAGCCTACGATGAACTGAAATGGCAGGAGAAGAATGTAATGGCCCTTTGGTTATCAAACGTGTCCGCGGTGGGGATTGCATCCAAAGGCTGTACGTTACCTGTAATGTATTGCTGACCCACCTGCCCGGCAGTGCTGAGCGTAGCAGCTCTGGGTAATTCTCCTTTCTGGGCTAGGATTGAGAAGGCAAAGCAGTGCTGCCACAAGGTACGCAGCTACCAATCCCTTCTGGCCACTGTGGCGAGCTAGGTCTGAGCTTACTGCCTTATTCACTGGGCTTGCACTTATCCACCGTGGCCATAAAACACCAGCAGCACCAGGCCTGGTCCATGGGAAAGCCTCATCCTTAGGATCCTTAGGGCCTCATCCTTTAGATCCTAGAGGATCTAAACTCTAATTCAAAGCTTACAAGCCCTTGTTTAGAATCCATTCACGGCCCAGTAAAAACTCAGGGCATGTAGGGCTGTTTCCCAGTCTAGATGCTAATGGCATAGGGTCAGGATAGACTCTCATGGTAAGAATCTGTATCTTCAGACCTTGGAGGAAATTGCTGAGATGGAAGAGGACATCAGACGTCTGGAGGAAGATCTTCGGAGGAAAATGAAAGACTTGAAACTGGCCCACACTCGCCTGGAGACCCGCATGCAGCGACCCGACGTGGAGCTGTGTCAGGATCAGGTAGCAGCCTTGCCCTGCATGTTCTCTGCTAGGAGGGGCTGGCGGAACTGAACAGGACGGGTGCTTGGGCGAGTCAAATAAAGGTGGATGCACTTTGGAGCAAACTACAGAGGAGCCGAGCCATGGACTCGGCCATCACTAGTGCATCCACCTGGGGTTTTGTCCCTGTTAAAGTAAGGAAACAAATGCTGTAGCTGTATTGGGAGGAAAACAAGGGATCCACAAGGGCCCCCGCAAGACATCGCTTTACCGCCCTGGTAACTCATGACCTTCTCCCTCCCTGCGTTGCAGGTCCAGTACGGGCTGACAGATGAGGTTCGGCAGCTGGAGGGAACGATCAGTGCCCTGAAGCAGAAGTTAGCGCAGTCACAGTGAGTCCCCTGTTCTTTGGGGCAGAGCAGTGACCCAGCATTTTGTACGGGAGGGAGATATGAGATAGCAGTGCTGCTCTGGGGTGCCATGGGGCTCCCAGGGCGCCTGCAATCCTGGAGCAGCGCGTGGGCTTGCTGTTCATGGCCCAAGTAATGCTCCTGCTGTGCACCGAGAGCTCTGCTGCACTAGCTCTTCATGCAAAGGCAAGAGCCACACAGATTTACGCTGCCAGAAAGTGGGAAGTTCATGTTTCCTGTCCAACTTGGAAAGCGTCCGCGGCGCTTGAACCAGACTCTCACTTGTGCTTGTTCTCAGGGGTGCCTTGGATGCGCTTTACAAACAACTCTACCACATCCAGACAGATATTGGCTACAAAGCTAATTCCCTGGTGCTGGACAACAAGTGCATGGACACTCGGAGAAAGCTCACGGTTCCTGCCGAGAAGTTTGTGCCAGAGGTCGACACCTTCAACCGGACCACGAACCGTGGGCTCTCCTCGCTGCAGAGCCGGCAGCTGCAGCTGGCCTGACGCGCCGTGGCGTGTTGTGCAACGAGCCACACGGCAGAGAAAGCTTCCAGTGACTCAGTTCCGCAGCAAGGAGAACGGGCATCTGTGTCACGTTAGGATAATGCGGTTCTCCTCCCGCCCCCTGGTTTGTTGTATAACTGTCTGTCCCCTTGTATGATGTTTATAGCCTCGTGCACTCTGAGGAGCATTACAAACAATAAAAAGTCTGTCCCCAAGAGCAGTTGTCATTCGAATGTGTTGGAAGCATTTCACGGTGATTGAATCCATCTGGGCTTTTTAGTGTTTTAAGTCCTTTAAAGTGCGAGGCAGTGCTCCGCAAGGGGACTGTGCAGCAGGGGCAGCGTGCCAGATGTGCTCCGTGGGGATACTGACACCAATCTGCTCACTTTAACGATTAAAGCAAAGTCTGGGTTGGGATTTCCCCCGCCTGCGAGCCTCGCAGAGTTAACACTGCTACAAAAGCGAGAGCCGGAGCCCATTCCGGCTCTTGTGGCAGATTTGTTAAAATGGAATTGCAGTTTCCACATTGTGCCATGAGTTATTGTTTCTATTCCAGGCGCGCTCCCAACGTGCGAAATACTGCAAGCACTCCCTGGGAAGCAGAGACCCTGCCCCGGGGACCTTCCGTGCCAAATTCCTGCCTGTGCAACAGGAGCAGGAGCTGCCCTTTGACTCCTGGCCCGCGGCGCTAGTTCTGGTAAGGAGGAGCTGAGGAAACAGCAGTGCTGGGAGCTGGGACGGGAGCCCGGGGTTGGCAGCGGCGCCTGCAGCCACGGGGATCATTGAGCGCCGCTGCCGGGGGCTGGGGGCGCTTGAGAAGCCCCCCGCGCCTGGGGACGCCCGAACGCGCTGGGTGCAGGTGGAACCCGGCCATGGGCACCCCCAGGGTGACCCCCGTGCAGCCCTCGTGTCCCCCAGGTGCTCCCCGTGCCCGCACCATGCCGCCCATGTCCCCTGTATCCCCCCATGTCCCCTGTGTGCCCTTGTGTCCCTCCATGTCCTTGTGTGTCCCTCATGTCCCCCGTGTCCCCCCCAAGTCCCGTGTGTCTCCCCATGTACCTTGTGTCCCCTTGTGCCCCCCCGTTTCCCCATGTCCCCTGTGTCCCCTGTGTCCCCTCTGTCCCCGTGTCCCCTCTGTGTCCCCTTGTGTCCCCCGCATGTCCTTGGTGTCCCCCGTTTCCCCTCATGTCCCCCCATGTCCCCCTGTGTCCCCTCATGTCCCCAGTGTCTCCTCGTGTTCCCAGTGTCCCCCCATGTCCCC